CCAGCAGCAGCAGCACCAGCAGCAGCAGCACCAGCAGCAGCAGCAGCAGCAGCATCACCATTACGGCATGCAGTTAATGGGAGAACCCCGTGAGCGCCCTCTCGTGGTCAAAAAGCTTACTACGGTGCTACTGCGTGGCAGGGTGTGCGACGATATCGCGAGTCCAGGGTCATGCCGGTGACCTTAGGGTCAAGCAGGTGACCTTAGGGTCAAGCAGGTGACCTCGGGGTCACACCGGTGACCTCAGGGTCGTGCCAGTGACCTTAAGGTCGCATTGGTGACCTTGGGTCGTGGGTGTGACCTCGGGGGAGGGGTCATGCATGTGACCTCTGGGTCACACAGCTGACGTCAAGGTCACATGGGTGAACTTGGGGTCGCATAGGTGACATGGTGGGGGGGTTCTGTGCTCCGTTTGCTGTTTCTCGCCACCAGGTGGGGGTGTTAGCGACGTGCTGCGGCGGCGGCGGTGGGGGTCGTGTGGGGGTCACGTACGTGTACAGGCAGGCGTGAGGGTGAGTGCGTGCAAGCAATACCGCCCCGCGTGCGAGCGAGATGCAAGATACGTGTGTTACCGAGGCACCCGGCAGATAGGTGCGATATGATATGACTACTAGGCACTTAGGATATGACTACTAGGCACTTAAAAAAAAAAAACCCTAACCCTAAAATTTAAGTGCCTAGTAGTCATATCATATCGAACCTTTCTGCCTTCTGCATTACCAAGCCAAACCCATGCCGTTATATGTGTTACTGCTGCTGCTGCTGCTGCTGCTGCCGCTGCTGATGGTGGCAGTGATGATGATGATGATGATGATGATGATGATGATGATGATGACTGTAATGATGATGATGATATTGCTATATTACTGCTACTGTTGCTGCTACTTGTGCTGGTGATGATGATGATAATGATGATGATGATATTGCTATATTACTGCTACTGTTGCTGCTACTTGTGCTGGTGATGATGATGATAATGATGATGATGATATTGCTATATTACTGCTACTATTGCTGCTACTTGTGCTGGTGATGATGATGATGATGATGATGATGATATTGCTATATTACTGCTACTATTGCTGCTACTTGTGCTGGTGATGATGATGATGATGATGATGATGATATTGCTATATTACTGCTACTATTGCTGCTACTTGTGCTGGTGATGATGATGATGATGATGATGATGATATTGCTATATTACTGCTACTATTGCTGCTACTTGTGCTGGTGATGATGATGAT